GGCAAAATTTCAGGTCAAAATTCTGCAATTCCATGTTTTTATATATGCCTTGCCATAGGCCGAAAATTCAGTAAAACGGTCATAACTCAAGAAAGACAACGTATGGGGATGAAATCTTTTAGAGTTCTTCTAGTCTCATCGAGTTCTACTTATGGACAAAATATGAACCCGATCGGCGATTAACACTTGGGATAGTTCCCTCGTCAGACTACAGATATTTTGACCTTAGGAATTTTTCAGTTTGTGTCCAAAGGCATGTAAAAACAAGAAACAAATTTGATTTGGGTCTGACTTTACAAGGTACTTTCGTTTTGGGTCTTGGTTGCTCTCATTAATCTCGATAATAGCCGTATTTGTATGTAGATTTAGTGCAGTGCATAGAAATCAGCAAAACACTATCATTATAGTGTAATCTAACTCATGCTGCTTAGCATTATATCATTTTATTGAGAGTTATGCCATCTTACTGAGTAAAACCTACTAATTGTGATTTGATCTAACTATATCCTGCAGAGCACTGCATAGTGTACCAAATACTCGTAGAAGTACAGCTTTTGATGAATATTGACTAAGGGAACTTTGGCTTGGACCGATGATTCAAGTCAAAAGTCAATTGTTTGTTCATTTTCTATGTCAAAATCTTGACAAAAAATAGTAAGAAGTTTGTGTCCGAGTTCAAGCACAATCATTGTTGTTTGATTACTGTTATGATAAGTGCAACATAATAAGAAAAAAATCAACGCTCAAAAAGTTTTTTTTTCTTTCTGTAATTACTTGCCATGGCATTTAGTTCTTACTTTAAAAAGATGACTGATTTTTGTATTTTCCTTCGTCAGATGTGACAGTTCATAATTCTCCAGTGGTATTTCTCTTTGCTGTTATACTTTTGGAAATATCTGATGTGCTTCTTTTCAGTATACATGTTGTTTTATTCAGAGAGGCAAAATGTTCTTGTTTTTTCTTATTTTATATTTAGTTATAGTTTTAAGAATAAAAATTATTCAAGATCAATTATATGATTCATTGTATGATCAATTTCGTTTTGTATTAGAAGCTATAAATTTTCAAAGAAAAATTTCTGAATATCTTTATTTTATGCCTGCATATGTTCCTTCTATTAGTAAAGACTATGCATTTTATCATAGGTCATGAACGATGATATTAAAATTATGTATTAAGTGACCACATTTTTATTTGAGTTTTTGAATTTGAGTTTTGTAATATGGAAATAGAGTTTGATGAAAAACTAACGATTTACTTATCTTGAAATAATCGATAATTCAAATGATGAGCAAGATCAAACGAATAAATATCGACGTTTTATGAATCGAAGAATATTTCTTTCTTTTTTATTTTTATTTTTGTTAGTTACTGATTCAAATGAGTAGTAAATGTGCGCACATGGCTGGTGATTTTTGACGTGATCTATTGAAATAAGTTGAAGAACAGACAAAAATCAGAATTTTATGTTGTAGTTATTTTTTTATATTCTTTACATATAGTTTGTGTGTTTTGTTAATAACATAAAAACAAGTATAATGAGAAAAAGCGAACCTCTAATACTGAAGATTTTCATCGAGGTGCTTGAAACATTTTAAAAGATTCAAATGTCTATCTAGTCGTTTCCATATTGCATTGAGTACTGCTAAGAATCATGGTGACTTTGATAAAAATTTAGAATGATTGATGCTTGTTACCATAAAGAAGTTACTGCATAGCCCATGTTATTATACGGTATAGACATTTACCATGACCTGATTATAAAATAGTACTTTGATAACTTTTCATATTCTAGATGTATTTTCAAAACGTCCATTCTTCGTATGTTTCTTTAAATGAACCATGCGCCATGATAGAAAAACAAAAACATACACATTTAACAAACTTATTTTCGTTTTTCATGATTTGATTCGTACGTTTCTTTATCATAGAAAAAAAAAAAGAGTTCTGCTCTCTCTATCATAATTCAATATAATTGCGATCGAAACCACTCTCACTCATGTATTTGACCCTGTCTGATCCAACGTTTTCAGATCCGATTTATTGAATGTTGCTGAGATCTGGATTCGGACTCAACGATCTCTATCACGCATCCATTATTGAGTTCCACTTTCGTATTCTACTGAATATTTGGTACTCATGTAATTTATTGATAAATTTTTGACTGTCTGAGAAAATTTCTTTCCAATTTATACGAGAGATATTTATATTCAGTTAGTTAGGAGTTTCACAGCAACAAGAGTTTTAAAATTCCAGCTACTTTGTTGATTCAAAAAAAAATTAAGCAAAAAACTTGAATAAGTCATTAATAACATACTATATTGGCTAGTAGTTGATAATAATTACGCTACTATGCACAACTTGATATCAATTCAGAAGGATGACATGTTTGATAATAACAAAGTTTCTTTTTGAAAAATTATCAAATTTTTTTGTAATATAATCGAATCAACATAGTTAAATAAGAAATAAATTCATTCTATCACTTTAGTTTACATATCTATTATTACACTTATGTGTTGTCAAATACGATGTATATAAAAAAAATTCTTAAGAATTTTTTTTTGTTTTCTTTCAACACTAACGAAAAAATGCGTAAAAGAACATTTTATCGAACGATAAGCTCAGCTTTCACAATGTATGTAAATGACAACCGAACTGGTTGCCATAACATCATGGTTATATTTACTTCATTTCATGCAAAAGAGAATAGTGTTAGCCATCGAATAGCAAACAACTATGTTCTTTTCTTTCAGATTTTTTTTACTAAGAGAAAAAAGAATTTTTTTAAATATAATATACACTGAATGGCAACATCATTTCTTTATGTCAATCTTCTGTACGTATTTTCTTTGCTTCTTTTGAATTAAAGTTATTTTCAATTTTTTTTTGTATTCCAGCAATTGAAACAAAAAACAAATATACATGAATTGATGAAGCATAATTAAAGAATGGATGATAAAATTACTCAAGGACTGCAAAATGTTCAAACGGTAATTGATAGACAAGAGATAATAAAAACATCATATGATCTTTTTTAAACATTTTAGGCTATTGAAAACTTGAAAATTTGTCAATATGATCCGTGAGTTTACATTTATTTTCATTAATAAAAAATAAACTCAATATGTTTTTTCTTCTAGACCGTATACAATAACTCGAAACTATGGTTTTATGAAATTTGATGAAAATAAACTTGATGCTACTTCACGTCCTTCAGAATATATACGATTAAGTCTTGAAACCAGTGCTGAAACAGTTGTGAAATTTATGCAACAAGGTTGGCGTTTACCAAAACCTGACTTAATTATATCTGTAACTGGTGGAGCAAAAAATTTCGATATGTCAACACGTCTTAAAAAAATTTTTCAAAGTGGTCTAGTTTCAGCTGCAATTACTACAAGTAATATATTTTGATTTTAATATTAATAATTAATACTTAGAATTTTTATTGAATAGATGCATGGCTGATTACAGCTGGAACAAATGCTGGTGTTGTTAAAGAAGTTGGTGAAGCTCTTAATAATTATCGTTATAAAAATCGAAAACATGGACTTAATATACCAACTATTGGCATAGCTAGCTGGGGTTATACAGCAGGAAATGATCAACTTGACAGTCAATCTACGAATAATTCTGTAAATCTGAGTAATACAAGAGGAACACGTTCATTCACTAAACATCATCAAAATCAAGCAACACATTCTATTCGTATGGTTAGTCGAAAAACTTGTTAAAAAAAAAATTCGTTTTTGTTTTTCGAATTAAATTTAGGATATGGGTGAGCAAGATGGTGTTCGAACTTATATTGTCAAAGAAAAACGTGAGAAACGATGTGATTTAGAACCAAATCATACACATTTTTTGTTATTCGACGATGGAGAGTCAAAGGCTGATAGTGTCCTTCCATTACGAGCAGAAATCGAAAAATACTCTTGCATTACCAATATTGAAAATGCTACAGAAGAAGCAGTAGAATCACTTATACCTATTGTTATGGTTTTGGTTGAAGGTGGTCCATCATCGATTCGAACAATTTGTAAAGCACTTGAGTCGAATACCCCACTTGTAGTTATCAAAGTATAGAAAAAAATTGAATAATCTAAAAAAGAAAGAATGCTTAGATTTGTTTTAAAGGATTCAGGTCGTGCTGCTGATCTTGTTGCTGAATTACATGCTTATTATTCCGATAATGAAGGTGGCGGTGGTGCTAGGCACCTTGCACGACCACAAACGGGTTTTGCTAAAGGTGGCTCAAAAGAAACAGACATTAATGCAATGTAAGCTTTCTTATGATGAAATTTTTTATATAATAATTGTCTCTATTAATTAATCAAGTTTGGCTAAAGCACGAACTGATATATCAGGACTTGAAAAAGTTGAAGATGATTTATGTCGAATATTAAATGAACGTAAAAAACTTGTAACAATTTTTACATTTGATAGTAAACGATATCGTGGGAATCTTGAAGATGCTATTCTAGAAACATTATTTAATAGTAAATATTCTTGATTGAGAATTTCTATCAAAACAAAATTCTTTGTTTTTATTATATAGCTGCAAAGTTTTCCGGTGATTATAATGAACAACATCGTCGAGCAACAGAACTTAAATTAGCTATAGTAATTTAAAAAAGACAATCGATTAAAAGGATTTTTCATTTTATATTTATTTAGGCATGGCATAAATTTGATTATGCTCATAAATATCTTCTTACTGATACGACTATATCGAAATGGAAAGTAAGTTGTTGGTTTTTTTTTTTTTATTATACTTTTATATTTGTATTAAATAAAAGGAAGATGATCTTCGTCGTGCTCTTGTCGATGCACTTCGTCGTGGTCATGTTGATTTTGTTGAATTACTTATTGAATTTGGTACATCACTTGAAAAATTAACAAATGGAGATCTTAAACATCTTTATACAACAGAGTTGGTATGTTGATATAAAAATCAAAAGTTAATTTATTTTACAAAGGTTAGTTTCTTTTGTGTTAGATTAGTAATCGATTACCACTTAAAGGTAAAAGAAAAGATGGTATATGGACAAGAGAGCAGTTTTTTACAGATTATTTTCATTCAAGCATAGTAAGAACAAACTTAATCTATTGCTTATTACATATGAAATATTGTTCTAGTATAATGAAAACAAGGATAAAAATTTAACACAATCAAAAGATGATCAACCATTAGGCAAAAGTGCTCCACAAGAATTATTTTTATGGGCTGTTTTTCTTGATCGATTTGAACTTGCAACATATCTTTGTTCGAAAACTCGGGTAGGATATAAAATAAATAAACGATATCTTATAATAGAATCGATTGTACTGATGGTACTCAAGAGGATTGACTATATGCAGGTTTAATGATTACTTTCACTGCCAAACTAACGAATTAAAAGTGTAAACTACTTATGAAGAGCCTCGAATGAACTATTCGATTTTGTGAGGTATTCAGAATTCCGGAATAGAAACATGATAATATGAAAATCATTCACATTTATACTTTTACACAATCAGCTGACTTTTCATGCAGTATGTTACCAGTGAGGAAAAACAGCAGAGACTTGAGCGTTGAAGTTTCATGGAATTTAGGAATCTACTATTTCTCTTTCGTTTTTCAACATTTTTCTCAAATTTATCAACCACATTGAAGGCAATCAAGATTCAGCTTTGTTCGAAAAGTTAAGGAATACTGAGAACTAGGAAAAATATTGCTATCCATTTACCGATATCTGTCAGGTATCAATACTTTTGATTTTATTTCATATGAAATCAACAAATTGTGTAAAATAATATTACAATACATTTACTTCAGATGGAAATGAAGATATTCAATCAACTGATAATAAAACAGATGATTTTCGCACTAATCACACAACAAGAGAGTTTGCTTCTGAATTAATATAATATATATTGTGGAATATTATTTTATGTAAACTTATTTTCATATGAAATCAGATTGAAAGTACTGATAAGTTACTGATTTTGGTAAATGATTACCAATATTTTTCTTAGTTCGAAATAAGTAAATTTTCCGAAGAAACTGAATTTAAACTGATTCTCATATGGTCGATAAACTTCAGCAAAACTCAGGAAACGCACTACCTGAAAAGCCTGATCATAGCTGTAAAAATATGGATATGAACGGTTTTCATATCAACATGTTTCTATATCAAAACTATGAATACATGAAAAATCAAATATCTCACTCGAGGTTTATCATGATCAACGTACATTTGAAATTCATTAGTGTGATAGTGAGAATAATCATTTGATCTATATATAATCAATCTTCTTGAATATCAATACAATACGTTTCATTGTATGATAAGATATTCTTTGCAGAACCCAACAATAGCACCATTATTTGGTACACATATCTATCGGCGTGCAGCAAGATTAACAGTTGATTCAGATATACAGCAGCAATATGAAGAACATGCCGCGTAATTTCAATATTTTTCATCGATTATAATATTTATTTATTTTTCTTTCCTTCTAGCCAATTTGATATTCATGCTATGTCAATTATTGATCGATGCTTTGATAGTGATGAAAATTTTGCTGTTGATCTTCTAAAACATTCTGCTGTTGCATTTAATGATACTGATCGATTACTGTTAGCTCGAAAAGCTGATTGCAGATCATTTCTTGCATCAAAATGTGTTCAAAGATATCTTGATAATGAATGGTAATATTTTAGTTTTTTTCTTTCATAAAGCAAACTTAAGAAAACAACATTAAATTTATAGGTTTGGACATATAAATTACAAACGAAGGGCTATTAATTTTCGAGTAAATATTTAAAAAAAAAAGACTAAATGAAGCATTAAATAAATTTTACTTTTTTAGGTTTTTCTTTGTTCATTATTTCTTCCTTTAATTCCAATATTTTGTACTTTTCTACCATATGTAGAAAAACATAAAAATGTTAGTAAAAAAATTCTCAAAAGAATTTATGAATATATTGAAAAGTTTATTAAAAGATTGTTTCAAGTACTCAAGATCGTTCACGAGGTAGTCAATCGACTATGATGAATAACGATATTGAGTAAGAAAACTAAGGATTATGATATTGAAATTTGTGTTCATTTTTTGTTATAAGACATATTCAACATAAAAGAAAAAAGAATGTTCCATGGACAGATAGAATAAGCTATTTCTATCAAGCACCAATAGTACGATTTTATTATTATACGGTAAAAATGATGTCTATGATTTAAAAAATATTCGTGATTATTTGTCTTTATTTTCGGTTAGATATTCTTCATTATATTTTTGCTTTTATTCAGTTTTGTTCTTCTTGTTGATTATTTTCCATTAAATATCTATGGTGAACGTCGATCTGGTTTTCAAAATTTAAAATTATCAGCAACTGAAATAATTCTTCATATTTGTATATGGAGCTTAATTGCAGAAGAAATTCGTCAAGTAATATTCATTTATATTTTATTAATGAATGAAATCATTTATTATTTTTAGTTTTTCTTTGTGAGTATTACAAGAGAATATTTTGGAGAAATATGGAATATTATTGATATTCTTGCAATTATTACATATATTATTGGTTTTATTACACGATTTATTGTTCGTGAATCACTTTTTGTTGTATCAAAGTAAATTTTTTTGATAACATATTTTCTTTTATATTATGACATATATTTATTTTGAAACTATTTTTTAGAATATTCTTATGTCTTGATTTCATACTTTGGTTTGTTCGTACATTACATCTATTTGCTGCTTTTGAAAAATTAGGACCGAAATTAATTATGATTTTTAATACGGTCAGTCAATTATATTTTGTTCTAATGTAATCAATCTTTTCATATTTTTTTTATTAATAGATGAAAGATCTGTTATTTTTTGTTTGTTTTATTCTAATATTCTTATTAGCATTTTCAATAACATCATGGTCATTAATTACTACAGATAATCAAGTATTTTGGTATTATGGTAGTGATGGGTCATTAACTAATGTGACAGTGGCAGGTGGAGGAAGTGGTTTATGGACATGGCAATTATTACGTGATGTTACAAATTATGGTGTTTGGAAAGTTTTTGGACAAGTTGATCCAATTGGTACAGATATTTATAGTTTAAATTTTTTCATTATAGTATTGTTCTTTTCCTTCTTTTTTAGATGGTACAAATGCATATTCTGTTATAGCTTTTGTCTTGGCTATACTATTTGTTGCTATTGCTAATGTACTTCTTCTAAATGTCCTTGTTGCTTTATTTAAGTATGAAAATAAATTGACTAATATATATATATATATATATATATATATACATTTACTTCTTTTTATTTTCAGTGTTACAATCCAAAATGTTGAAAAGCAATCTCATCGAATATGGCGTTATCAACGATTTTTACTTGTTGTTGAATATAATTATAAACCTTCATTACCACCACCATTTAATACTCTATGGTATCTATATCGTATTATTAAATATATAATCGAAAAAATTGAAGAATATCGCCAAAGACAACGACATGGTAGTTTTACATAATTTATTCATAAACAACGATTTTTCTTTTATTAATTTTGTAGTTGCCAGTGACACTGTAGCAATGAATTCGATTGATTCCAATGAAAAAAATGTTCAAGAAGAATTTAAAAGTAGAATTATTCAATAGAGTTCAAATAGAGAGGAACTTTTTTTTTTTGTTTATAATAGTTACTGATGCAATGCAACGTGAAAGTGCAATAGCTGATGATTATTGGAGTTATACATTGAAACATGGAAAGAAAGATCAAGTTGAAGTTGCACTAGAAAAAATTGAACGAAGGTAACATTCATATTTTGTTTTTTTTTCTCGCGAAGTTTATTGAAATTCAATTTTTCTCAAAGACTTCATGATTTGTACAAACAAATACATAATAATAATCAAGTATTAGTAAGTTTTGTTTTATCGATATTTTTTTTAGTTAGTATTTGTATTTTATAGAATTATGATCAACAATGATTTTCATCTGATACTTAGTACTAAAGAGATTTATTTGTTTTTGTTTTTATGAACAATCAACAAAATATGATCATGTAAAAAATTTTTGTTATAAATGAATTTTTTGTTTAAGAATAATTGAAAATATAAGATCGTTTGAAATAAGGACTGATTTATACTAAGATATATTTATTGCTTACTTTACAATCAATTAATAAGAGTGAAGTGTTAAGCTAGAAATGAAAATGTCAAAATCGTGTCTCTGCAATTCTTCTTGATGGATGAATTTTGTTATTCTGTTGAATTGATTGATTATTAGAAGGCATTATAACTGTATGATGTTGTCTGAATATAAGAGTTTTTAATTTCTTAATAAGTTCAGGCATTGACATAAGACAAACCATAGGTAGAACAAGAGGTACAATGTAAACAAGAAAATTAAATGTATCTAATTGTGTAAAAAGAAAAGTTGAATCGATATAGATTTGACCAAGTTGAGCTATCGATAATGGAATCCAAACAGCAAGATAAACAAAAGAAATAATTCCTAGTTGAAAAGCCATTTTTCTTTGACGCCGCCAATTGTTTCGAATAGGACCAGCAGCAATTAACTTTTGTTGAATAACACGTACGAAAAGAGCAAGATTAAAAATAAAAATAGTCAATACTGGAAATATAACATCAAAAAACAGATCAAATGTACCCCAGCTAGTGAATAAATAACATGGCATACCACATAAAAGACTATCAAAATATCGAGTATTTGTACACATAGAACTAATTATTATAGCATAAGTATAATACAATGGTCCCCAAATACAACAAAATACTAAAGGAACTATTTGAAGTAATCGTCGTTTCCGAATACCTATATTTCGAATAAAATAACTATGAAATATTAGTAGATGACGTTCAATAGAAATCCAAGCCATGATAAAACCATTAGTAGTATTTAATGAAAACTCATACCATGTCCACCAAGTACAATATGCTGATGTAGCTGGTTGAACAATTCCATTCAAATGAAAGAAACTCATTGGCATAGGAAGATCAGAAATGACTTGAAAAAAATTGATTAAAAGTAAAATAAGTATAGAATGATTATGATATTTGACAAGAGCAGTATGATTGTAACCAAAATAAATAAAGATTGTAAGTGAGACTAGAATTGAAGGAATTTGAAGTGCAAGTAACACAGCAAACTTAATTGAATATGTCAATGAATAATTCATTATAGTGTATGTTTCATTTGTTGACATTGTTTATATTAAGAAAGTACTTTTTTTATAAATAGACTATTCTAAAATAAATACATCATGAAGATTATGTTGTTGAACTATATACGGCAAGATATTATTTTACATTTTCTCCAAGAACATATTTCTACTATTTTAAAATTTCTATTCATCATGTTACTCACGTAGTTGAAAGTTTGTCTGAGTAAAATTGATCAAAATCTATGAAAATGTGTTGTAAACTAATGATAAATAATAACTTCAATCATAATGAAAAAAAATTTTAGTTGTCTGGCATTATTCATTAACTGATGACTGTAATAAATTTTGATTTGAAATTTTACACTCAAAAGGAACACACATTTGTGTTTGCTTTGTTTTATATACATTTTCTCAGATTTGCTGCGTTTTGACCATTATTAGTTGTTTTCACGTTGGTTACAATCCTTTCTTTGATTCTTATAATTTCCTCTTAATTGCGCAGTTATGTTTGTCGTTGGTGCACATCTCATTAGTTCGTTCTTCAACGTAAACATCTTTACTTCACTATTAAACTTCTACTTCATTGCTACTTTCAATCAACCACTTCTTTATCTACTTACATCACTCTTGTTATTTCTCTGTATTCTTACTAATTCTCATCCTTTTTCATGTTCGTCATTCAATAAAATACATCAGTAAATCTTCATTCACATTCAAATCAATTTATCATCGTTTCATCACGTGTCGTCTGATAGTGACAGATGGGATCGCATTCTGTTATAAATCAGAAAGAAAAAAGCCGGAGAGCTGGAGAATCTTGGCGTCTTATTTTTACTCACTATTTTACTTCGATAAATAAATAAGTGCCAAAAAATGTGGTTTTGAGAGAATCTTCTAACTCACGATAAAAACATATTATTTAACTAAGATCTTTTCGAATGCCAAATGTCATATTGAGATTGAAGCATTCAATTTTTCGTGATATATCTCAATATTGGCCAATAAATTAGTGGAATAATTATCTCTCGAGAATAGCGACTCAGCAAGAAGATCATATTGGCAAGCGGTAGAGTTTTTTTTGGACGGAACTAACCGATTGAAACTCTTGGCTTAACCAGTAAAAATCGGTCTGTTCAATGTATCAAGTAACCAACTAGTGCCTTTGAATAAAGTTTATTGCTACAGTTTCACTCAAACATAAAATATGAAAATCATGTAACTTTTTGTAGTTTCTAATGGTTGGCATCACTTTCTCAATAGACCAGGATCTCTTCTCATATTTTTGAACTGAAAGTATGAGCTGAAATCACTAACCGGTTGAGAGTTTCTGACAATTGGTTAAAAGGAATCTGGAAAAATGAGATAAAAAATATTTATTTTAATCAAAACTTAGCTTTTTCTGGCCGTAATAAATTCATTCAACATAATTTGAGGCACTCAACATAAGACCAGAAAGGGTGAGCTCAAGATTTACAGTTAAAAGTTTGATGATGGCTAGAAAATTATCACTTGAGGACTTTCCAGCTCATATTTTTGGTTTATTAAAGATATTGAAATTGATGAAAACTGCCCAGTTTTAAAAGTTCAATCGGACCAGCGACCAGAAAACTACGAATGTTCTAATTCCAATTCTAGATAAGTCTCTGTCTAGCCTTGTTCTAGTTTCAACATATCCTACTTGATGAAGAAAATCTCATCTCATAAACTTTTGATAATTCGGAACGATTTCTTTGTCAGTTCAATTTGATAAAACTTAACATGCAAGATTATGAAAATGATATCACAATAGAATATCACACAGAGCATAAGTACGAGTAGTTCTCCATCTATTTGATCTTGTTGAAGTAGGTCTTTACCTTTTTCTAGTGTTTCAAAATCTGAACGAAAACAGAAATATTCTAACCTCATAATGTAAGTGTCTAAACACATCGGACAAAACAGTAACCATGAAGAATTAAAATACCATCATTTGAGAGGGTTCATAATAAAATAATATGTAGTCTTGTCGTTAATAATAAGAGATAGTGTTACTGGTCAATAAGGACATTTTCATCACCCTATACATTTTATACTACACAGGAGGTTCTTTTTAATCATATAATGTGATAATTCTACTTTATAAGAATATTTTTTTTCTTGTAAGTAATCTGGTTACTGAATCCTTTACTATATTTAAGTTTGCATGAAATAGTTGATTTTAGTGCTTCGAGTAAAGTAAAAGATAACGACCTGAGCTGTTCATATGTGCTGAGTTGTCACAGAAGACAACATACAGTTTGTGTTGTGTACAATCAGTTGAAGTAATTTAAAGAATTTTAATTAATGAGTAGTTTTATTCTAGATAAAACTAGTATAGAAACAGGGTATTACATAATCAATTTTGTTCTTAAACATCACATATTGAGCTTTTGATGAGCACAATTGTTAATAAACATAGTTTTATCTAAAATTTATATAATAATAGATCGTTATATATAGAGTTTTTGTCAAAAATATCGAAGCAATAAATAACTTTATTGTACTTTATGTTTATCTCATCTCAAACACTAGATGAGTGAGAGTGAACTGGTTTTTCTCTGATTACAATAAATAGGCTCTAGTACACTGATAGCAAAGTCATAGATCAATCCATTTATTTTTTTTAGTTTTTGTTGACGATATAATCGCAGCATGTAGTTTTTCATTCTTCCAAAACTATCTAACCGATTTTCCTTTTGGAAATTAGTGAGTGATTGTTCTAAGTTGGAATATTTTTTATCATGCATAATTAACTAGTAAACAAAAAGTATTCTACATAAGGTATACTCTTTATCATAGCTGTTCTTGAAGTAATGGTTAAAAAGTAATGTTCTGCTTCACCTACAGTAGAGATTTTGAACATGTTTCTTTTCATACAATGTTTGGCCAATTTATTGTTCAATATAGCATTAGAAAGAGCAATACAAAGTATATGAGATATTCTATTTTAATTCATATTTAATGGTGGAAAATTGTTTCACTCATCTTCAATGTGTATGTCGCAGGCAAAATTAAACTTAGACAGAATTTGTTTTTAATTAGAAACAAAACTACAAAATAATTTTCTTTTATGTAAAAATAAATTTATTGTAATTTATACACCTTGGGAAAATGATTTTCAAAAGTATTTTTAGGAATGAATGAAATAACATTTGAAACTTTGTCTGTGTGGTTTCAAGATAAGGCACCTATTATTCTATTATAAAGAAACCATAAGTTAAAAATTTCTTTATTTTTTTAGATTAGAAAATAACTTAACAATATTTAACAGCATACCATATTTATATTTTACGTATCATATATGAGCTATGTTACTTTTAAAGACAAATAAACAACAATAACAAATACTACTAAAAAAGCATAAACTTAAAGGTCTTTTCTTTGTTTCTTGTCTTGATCGGAGCTTGCTAAGACAAACTAAATTTTACTTGAATACACTCGTAAACTTTATAACTGACTAAATTTAACGTAATATCAATCTATAAGATCAGTTCTTCATTCTCATGTTTTTTTTTTCTTTTAAATCTTTTAAAAACTTTGTTTAATTCTGTTTAACAAATATACCCTAATCACAAATACACCTTCTGTTACGGTTTCATTCAATCATTGAAGGAGATACAAACAGTTGTTTTAAAAGAGTGGATTTTTAGGACATTTTTTTCTGTACAAAACTCTAAAATTTATCATCAAAATCCATTGTATCACTTAATTTCCATACATTTGCTACGCTGTATGTAGCAGAAGTAAAACGTTTTTAAGCATTTTCCAACACTAGACTTGATTTGCATTGTTCTAAATGTCATCTATTATCTATAAATACATGATACGAAAAAACTACTAATATATTTAATGAGATCTGCACTATGACTGTTGCTGGAACTACGGTAAGCTTTTTACTTCTGTTTCATATAACATAACAAAAGTATAGAAACTAAGCAATATTGTTAGTTTTGATTCCAAATATGAGAGTTTTGCATAGAGAAGGTTGCTTACATATCTATTCTTATAAAAAGCATTTTTTTATACTTTCTTCAATGCATGAATGACACCGTGCAAGAAGACTTACCTGTGATTGGTATATACATGGGAGATGAACGACACAATTTTCCAAAATAAAATATGAATTAATTTGGATTATCTCATGCTCTTTGTAGTAGTTTTCCTAATGCTATATTGAACAATAAATTGGCTAAACATCTTATGAAAAGAAAAACTTTCGTCGCCTTGTTATTTAAAATTCTCAGTATAGGTGTTAATAAAAACATAGCTTTTTTAATCCCTATTTAAAGGACAGATACAATATAAAGCACTCCTTATGTAGAAAACAATTTTTTTCTAAGTCATCATGCATTATAAAGAAATTTTCGATCTAGAATAAGCGTGTGCCAATATTGATGTCACCTCCCGTTGTTCCTCTTTCCCTTGATCTAATCTCTATTGCTCTTGCCTGTGTTTATCTCTCTCTCTTGCTCTCTTCTATATAAGCGTGTGTTGTATGTGAATTAGTCGCATTTTGAAGATGTAAAGTAGGACAATAAGCTTCATTATCGGGAGCGGCAATAAGCTATTCCTTCAGTTGGAGTTACAAGGAGTTCACTAATCTGCAAAGAAGTGTTGGATAATTTTAGAAGGATGAAAAATGCCATGCTGCGATTATATCGTCAACAAAAACTAAAAAAAATGAACGTATTGAACTCCAAAATTTTACCAGCATACTAGAAAGGATGAGCTGTTATCAAAGCAAAACTAATTCATTCTCGCTTATCAGTTTTTGAGATAAACACAGAATATAATAAAATTGTTTACTGTTTGAAGAATTTTGACAGCCAGAGTATATACATTTGACTTTTCACTGTTACTCAATACGCATTAGGCTTTGTTCATGAAATTCACTGGTTTAAATCCGTTTAATTTTCATAATTAGTTTAATCAATTTTTAATCTATTAATTTGTTTACATGTAATGAAGCCTGGATTAGTCAAAAAAAGCTAAAATTCGTCAGCTATATCTAGTTTATTTTTGTA